TCACAGATCGAGGGGCATACCATGTACTCGGTGGTGATAAAGGGGTCGTTGACGGCGACGAGCTCGACATCGTCGCTCTGGAGGGCGACCCTGGCGACGAGCCTCCCGATCCTTCCGAAACCTGAGCGAAAACAGCCACTCGAGTCAAAACAGAGGCACACCAGCACCGATCGGTGAATCCAGAGGCGCGCGCGAGAAAGTGACAGAGAAACTCACCGTTGATTCCGATCTTAATCTTGCCTGCATGCGTCCCAGACCAAGCAGAAAGAGCAAACGAGCAAAATCAATCAGCGAAAAACAACAATCATTCATATCAGGAGACGAAGCAGCAGCAATTCGAAGAGCAATTTACCCATGGCGAGGGAGTGGAACTGCCGCTGCGACGCGAGACGGGGATGGGAGGTTGGCTGGGGACGGGACGGGAGAAGTGTCTGGAAGCTGATATGGAGAGGTGGAGAGGGTTTAAGCCGCTGGTTTTATAAAGCCTGGAGAGGAAAAGGCGAAGTGGAATATCGGGAGACTAAAACAAATCCAGACGAATTGATTTCGGGCGAGGTGCGCGGCTGACCTGTCCCTTCCACGCCTTTTTCCACAAGGCGGGCCCTCCGGGTGCCTCTGTGAGCAGTGGGCCCGGCTGCCGGCGCGGCCCACGTGTCATTGCGAAGCCTGGAGGTAGGTAGGTAGACGTCCCGTGGGCGCCCGTGGTTTCTCGGGCAAGAAAGAAAGGGAAAAGAATGCGAGGGGCATTTGCTGCCGTTCGTGCGGTGCGGCGTGGTTTCTCGCGCAAGAAAGAATATGGCATTTTTGCTTTCCCTCGGGTGCCAGGGAGAAAAATACTCGGCTTTCCAATAATGCGGCTAAACAAACGGACGCCAAGTGGGATTTGATTTTTTGGACGGGAATTGTTCGTTTTGCTTGGGGACAGTGAGTGGGGTTCTCCTTCTGCCTCTACGTGGCACCGTCTGGATGGTTCTGTGGCTGTGATGACTGGGATGGGTAGCAGGTGGTCCGGAAGGTTGGGTGGCCGCCGACGAGGGCAAGCGGCGGCGACCCCCGCGTGTTTGTCCGACGCGGACGGGGTGGAATCCGGCTGCCCGGGATCCTCTGAGGCGTGGAGAACTGTGGCGTCTTTGCTGGCTTGACGTTTCTCCATGCTCAGTTCAGTACGTACTCCTACTTAGTTGCTGGGGTACTACATGTAAAGACGATACTGCGTGCACGACAAGGAGACGACGGCCAAATCCAGCCGTCTGCTTCACTTTACTGTTGTGCATGGATGAGTTGATCTGCGTTGTCGTTTAGGAATCGTCTACACACCATCGTGTGTATAGCAGCGCTATTACTGGGAACCGCGGGCACCGCACGTGAAGCCAAACGGCGACAGGAAAGGGCGGGCACGGAGGATCCGGAGACCTGTCCTCGACGGCCGACGGGCGTCCCGTGGCGCGGTGGGGTCTCCGACCACGACCAGCTGCGCATCGAGAGGCTGATGGCCGGATATGCCCGTGCCTTGGTGCGGATAATTTCCGATCTGCCACCAGGTGGAGGCCGCGAATATGCTGACACATATGCCGCTGCCTTTCCAGACGCTTCTCCAAATTTTCTATTTAGCCCTTGGTTTAGCAGCCTGCTTTGGTCACCTGCTTGGTCACCGCGCACGCTCGATGCGAGTTAGGAAAATGTCGCGGTCATCGTTCGTCGGGTTCCCGCAAGCACCAACCGCCGCGGGCGACCGATGCGCGGCGGCGCCCACGGCGATCCAACGGACGACGATTTTTTTCGTTCGGCTCGGTCACCCGTTCCGCGTCGATCCATACGTGTCGATCCATACGTGTCGGCGTGGGATCGGCAGCGCGCCTAATGCGTCGATCCATACGTGTTGGCATGGCCGGCTGGCCGTCTAATTTTATATTAATGATTTGCATTTAAACATGTTGTCAAATATACTGAATAAAATAATATAGTTTTACAAGTCAAATACAAATAAAAATGTTTCACATAGTTTTGCAAACAAATAAAAGAAGATACATCTATTAGTTGCCGACATGAGCCCACATATGCTCAACCAAATCATTTTGCAGTTGCATGTGAGTTTTCCAATCATGCATGTCTTCATGAAATTAGGTGAATTGCTCAAACGTTGCTGCTACTCCATGCTCAGCCACAACATTTCTCACCCTGAAACTAAAACCCTTAATGTAGCGACCCGACCTCAAACGGTCAAGTCTCTGTATTTCAGTGTTATCCTAGATCGGTAATGCTGACAAACACAGTACTTGAATGATTTATAACAGAATAACAATCACACACTTATAACATACAATGTCTCAAAAGAAAACTTATTTCAATAAATATGGCTTAAGGTCGTCTAATACGATAACAACGGAAGGCTTGAAAGATAAAGTGAGTCCATCAACTCCAACGATATAGCTGAGCTGCACGGCAACGATCTAACGAACCTTACTCCTCGTCTTAAAAGTCTGCAACATGATACGTTACAGCCCAAAAATGGGTCAGCACATGGGATATGCTGGCAATATAACACAGTAGAGCAAAAACAGAATAATACTATCACTATATGCATATTTGGCTGGTGGAAAGCTCTATGGTTAAAGTTTTTGCGAAAAGCCAATTTTCCCTACAATAAAGGAATATATTTTATTTAACTATCATGGTAGTTGAAACATCATTGAGAAAGTTTCTCCAACTTAATCCCAATTAAAAGTAATTATCAACCCAACAATATTAATTTAGAGTGATGAGATACATATGATAATCCAAGTACTAGATACTCAAGATGTCCATAACCGGGGACACGGCTAACCATGATTAGGTTGTACACTCTGCAGATGTTTGCGCACTTTTCCCCAGAAGATTCGATCTCCTCCGTTGGATTTCTCGCACTACATGATGTTTAAGAAACGGATGACCGAGACACAGTCTTTCAGAAGCATTTACTCTAACCCCGGGTAGACAATACCAACCTACACCCCTCTACATATGCTAGCCTACCACTACAGAGGTCATGCAACTTACTCAACTATGCTAGAGCCCATAATAGCTTGTGGCTGCACACGAAAGTTTCTAGCGTGAAATATCTCAGTTCCCTCTGAGCCTGGGTGGCGGACCTTAGGATTATCACACGGGTACTCCGGGATATCCTAGGACAACACTAGATTCTCCAGGTGCCCGACAAGCAATCCACCCAGATGTGTATTAAAGTTGTCATCTTAAGTTGAACCATTAATTAACAAACTCACATCTGTCATGGATTCACTCACCCCAAACCACGTCTACGAGCATAACATGGCAATATAAGCAATACGTAGAAGTAACTCCTAAGGGTTTGATAATAACAGGGCAATAGGTTCTACCTCATCAACTACTTCCCAATCCCACATGTTATCAAGTCCTAACCATGCAATGCTTGAGGGTTGAAACTAATGCATAAAAACTGGGTGATAAAAGGATATGATCAAAGTGTTACTTGCCTTGCTGATGATCCGCAAAACCTAGGGACTCGTAGTAGCACGCTTCGCACTCCGGGTGTTCTATCGCAAACAAAAAAACAATAGCATACATAAACAAACAAGCGAAGAAGCACGGGTAAAACATGAATAAGAAGATCTAACCAGAAAGTTCAACTTAAGAACTCCGGTTTGCAAAAAGAATCAAATCAAACGGAGCAACGAAACCCAAACGGCGAAAGAAACAAGATCCAATTACTAATCTGGACTAAAGTCAAATTTTACTGTACCAAAATCTTGTTCAAGTTGGTTAAACGAAAAGAGGGCTTCGAGAGGAAGATCTACGCGCTTGAATCGCCTGATTTCGATAAACGAGCGAAAAGATAAACTAAAACGAAAATCGGATCAGAAATCGCGATCGAAAATAATCGCGGAAAAATCCGAGAAAAAGAAAAACTGACGAACAGGCTAACGAACGAACGTTCGTTGTCTGCGGCTAAACAGTGAAAACCGTTTGTTAAAACGAACGTACGGACGAACGTCCACTAAATAACTAAACCGAAAAAACCAAAACTAGGGTTTATGAAATAAAACAGATCGTTTTTTTAACCGGCGGTGGCGCGGCGGCTCCGGCGGCGGTGGTCGGCGGCGCGGGGCGGCAACAGCGGCGCGATGGCGGGGAGGTGGCAGCGGCGCGATGGCGACGGCGATGGCTAGGGTTAGGGTTTGGGGCGGGGCGCGGCTGGGCTGGCTCGGGTGCGGGGCGCGGCTTATAAGAGGGCCGGCCCGAGGTCTCGTGGCCGGGTACGGCCCGAAGTCGGTTATCTTTTTAAAAAAAATTCCGACACGCAGAAAAAGAAAGAAAAGAAATACTAAACGGACTCCAAAAATCCCGAAATAAACTTTCCCCGTCCTCTAAAAATTGGCCGGACAAGGTGAACATTTATTTGGGCCTAAAATGCAATTTTGGAAAACACACTTTTTTCCTAATTCAAATAAAATAGCGATAAAACTCCGAATAAAATCCTTATTTGATTTTAATATTTTATCTCCAATATTTCCTTATTTTGAGGACGTCATTTTATCCTCTCTCTTATATGTTTATAAAAGAAAATATTTGAAGATAAAATAATTAAAATCAAATGATCCTTTTTTCAAAATTTGAGAAAAGCTCAAACATGAAAATAATGAAATTCCCAACTCTCTCCGCGGGTCCTTAAGTTGCGTGGAATTTCTAGGATCTAGCCAAAATGCAATAAAATATGATATGCAATGATGATCTAATGTACAACATTCCAAATTGAAAATTTGGGATGTTACACTTGATCGTACAGACGTTTCGGGCACTCGTCTTCTACGATCATATTATGCATGATCACACAAGCAGTCATCATCTCCCACAGTTTCTGCGTATTCTAGGTATTAGCAGGATACTGAACGATGCCCCCATCGAGATTGCAAAACACCAAAGGCACGCTCGACATCCTTCCTAGCACTCTCTTGCTATTGGGCAAATCTTTTCCTCTTCTTTCCGACAGGGTTGGGTATTGTCTTGACAATAGTGGTCCACTGAGGATAGATACCGTCACCCAGGTAGTATCCTTTATCATAGTTTTGGCCGTTGATAATAAAGTTCATCGGTGGGCTGTTGCCTTCGGCAAGCCTAGCAAACACCGGTGAGCGCTGAAGCACATTGATATCATTGTGTGATCCAGCCATGTCAAAGAAAGTGCCAGATCCAGAGATCTTAAGACGCCATGGCCTCTAGTATGACAGTGCAAGCCCTAACATGGCCCTTATACTGCCCTTGCCAAGCAGAAGGACAGTTCTTCCACTCCCAGTGCATGCAGTCTATGCTGCCAAGGATACCTGGGAAGCCCCTTCTGGCA